ACCGGGCAGCCACGAGGCCCGGGGGGTGCAGTGTCACCTCTCAGCCTGAGTCCTTCCTGGGTCCAGCAGGCCCGTCGTCCAAGGCTGTGGCCGGGCTCCAATGGGGGTGGGAGCGGGCACTCCTCCCACCGGTCAGAATTCACTCACCATACCCTGCGTCCTGCCCCGTGCTGGGGGCTCCTCACAGACTGTATGTTTGGGAGGGGCCAGGGTGGACTGCCCACCCAGGGCACTGTGAGGTGTGGCTGGGGCCCTGCACAGGGAAGGCGGGTTTCGGCCCTGAGCTGTCCAGCGCGGGGCTCCCTCTCTGGGCGGCCAGGATAGGGACAGGGGTGGAGGTGTGGCCGGCTCAGCACCCCTGCCATGGGCCACTGGACCTGCCCCGGCTATGAGCGGGCCCCACCTGGTCCCTCCAAGCTGCATGCAGGGACTCAAGGCCCACTGTGTCCCCGGGCCTCAGCTGTGTCGCCTGTCTAATGGGCTCAGGAGCAGCGGGGAGCAGGGGCTTGTGACCTGGGCAGTGCTGGGCCTTGCAGGTGCCGCAGGCCTGTGGCCAGGGCAGAAGGGGGAGATAGGCCAGCAGCAGCCCCTCTGCAACCCCTGCTCCCTGGCTGCTTCGCTCCCATGCTCCCTGCCATGTGTGAAGGGACATGAAGGGGGCAGAGCCGTGTCGCAGGGCGTCAGGAGGACTGAGCGGGCCTGTGCACAGACACACTGAGCAGTCATGGCCATGTCCCTGCGCCTGTTGCCGGCATGTGGGCTTGGGCAGGGCTCCCCGGAGCTTCAGGCCCCCGCGCACCCCATGACATACCAGGAACCCCCAACTCCCAGCAGCCCAGCTTGGCCCCAGGGCTGGCATCCAGCTCAGTGCCTGGTGTTTTTTGAGCATTGCCCCCGAGAGCGGCTCAGTGACTCTTGGTCCGGCACAGTCTGCACACAAGAGGAGAGCCCAGAGGTCTTTTGCCCTGTGACCCTGCAGAGGGCCCTGGGCTGTCCCAAGGGGAGCCCTGCCTCCCCCTTTAGATGTTGACCACGGGGACCCTGGGGCACCACGAGCTGCCCCCCAGGGCAGGGGACTCCCTCCCCGCAAGCCCCAGGCCTCGGTGTCTCCCACCCCTGCCCGTCTTTGGCCAGTGTGGCCGAGACAGCCCAGGGCTTGCACGTGGCCAGGGCCATCGGGTCCAGAGCTGGGATCAAGGCCGAGCAGGTTCTGCAAAAATTTCCCTTGAAAGACTCTTTTTCAAGATTTTCTTTTGAAAACAAATTCATAAGCACATCAAACAGGAATCCCGTCCCCTGGGTTTGTCACCACCGCCCAGGGCTCTCTAACTGGTTGTTATTCTAATTGCTTTTTTTCTCTTCCGAGGGCCCGGAGTCCTCTTATGGTTATTAATTTGGTGAATGGAGGCAGGGAACAAGGGAGCTTTTGTTGGCCTTGCCCTTTGGTCACTATCAAATTGCAAATAATGACGAGATCCAAGATCCCCAAAACTGATGTGCCCCAGCAGCTCCCGGGGAACGCCGTCCCGGTCCCCGAGCGGGCACTGCCTTCCTCTGCGGGTGACAGCGCCTCACCTGGGCACCTGCCCGGAGGCACGCGCTTCTCTGTGGCTGGGGATCGGCTCAGGCCGCTCCCTCCGGCCGAATGAAGTGCTCACTGAGTCTCACCATCGAACATGAAGCAAGATAAAGGTGCTCTCCTTGGGAGGAGGAGAACCCAGGGCAGGGGGACCCAGGGGCCATCTCTCTGGGACGTGCTCAGCCCTGGAGAAGCGTGGCAGGTGTGAGTCACGCTCACAGAGCCCGCGGGCACAGGCTCCTACACGACTGTCCTGCTCCATCCTCAAGAACGCCCCCCAGGGGAGGAGCAGCATGCCCCCACTTCCCAGCTGAGAAACTGAGGCCCAGGGAGGACAGCACAGCGGCCAGGTCTCAGCGTGGGATCTGACTTGGCCTCCTGGACCAGCCTGACCAGGCTCACCCCACACTGTGGGGACAGGGGATCAGTCGCTGAGAAGGACGGAAGCCCACCCGGGCAGAGGCCATCACCGGGCCCCAGGGGCCGGGCAGTGCAGGGCAGGCTCAGGCAGCCCAGAGCCAGCGACGAGCAGCAGACAGCCCCGCGTGTGTGGCGCCGAGGTCAGCCACCAAGGGCGGGGGGCCGGGTGGGGGGAGACGTGGCTTCACAGGGCTTGGCCCACCCGGTGATCACCACGCCCTGAAGCCGGACCAGGCGGGTGACTCCGAGGATCCCCGCCCATCAGGCTGGGGCTGGGCAGGCGGGAGGACCCTGCAGGGGGCCAGGAAGACCCAGGGGGACCCTGAGGGTGGCCAGAGGACCACAAGGACTCAGCAGGTGGCCGGGGGGCCTTGGCAGGAGTCTGGTTTGGCCTGCGGGCTGCCCCACTTGCTCTCTCTCCCGTCCCATCAGTGGCGGCATGTTAACCTCCTCCCCAGACCCGCTCCTCTCCTGTGCGAGGAGGGGGAGGCGTGAGGCCCAGGCTTTGGGCCGGCTCTGGGATTCTGGCCCAGATCCGAGCTCGCCCCCGGCGCCCCTGCCACCTCCAGCAGTCTGGCTAATGGGAGCATGTCCCCTGGGACCAGGGAGCCCGGTGAGCCCCCCCAAAGCCCCATCTCCCATGAGCAGCAGCCCAGGGGGCCGAGGTGGGCTTGAGTGCCCCAGGTGGCCCCCTGAGGGCGAGCTCGGCCTGGGGCCAGCCTCCCGCCTGCTCCCAGTGGGGGCTGTGCTATCAACCCCCTGGGATGCGCCCCCTCTCCAGCCGTGCCGGCAGCCCCACCCCTTCCTGAATCCCAGCCATTCTTCCATTTCCTTTTTTCCCAAGAACACCCTATAAAGGCTTCCATACCCACTTGCCCTGCTGGGGGCTTCAACAGATGTTCAAGTGGCATAAAGTGAAAATTTATGAAACCACAAATTTTCCTCTGTAATGTATTTGGTGCTCTAATTGGTGCCAAACCAATCAATACCCAAGCCGGGGCCTGCACAGCGGAGCAACATGAAGCTCGCCCGCACCAGCCTCGTGCAAGGCTCGCTCCAGGCTACCAGGCGCGCAGGGTCCCCCACGGGTCTCCCAGGGCATAGGCGGGCAGCGGGACTGGGGGCCCGGCGGTCTTGGGCCGAGGAGAGGGTCCTCCCCAGCCCCCCTTGGCTGGGCTGCCAGGGTCCCAGCCAGAGACCCCAAACGAGACTCTTCTCCTGGGGCCTCGGGGCCTGTGTCTGTGGGTGGCCTCAGCATATGGTGGGACTAGGGTGTCAGGGAGGCACCCGGGGGAATGCAGGGGTGGGGAGAGCTGAGTGAGGGCCTCAGGCTCTAGCCCAGCTAAACCAGAGAAGCTCTGCACCCCCTTCCCTTTATAGCCTGGGCTCCGGTATCAGATATGTCTGAGAAAATAGGTTAGGCCCCCCTGGCCTGGCTGAGGGGGCCTCAGACATGCAGCTGTCCCTGTCCCCAGGCCCAGGGGCAGGGGAGGAGGTCTCAGTCCCCTGCACAGTCCGAGGAGGCAGAGGCAGCAGGGGAGCCCAGGAGGCCCCAGGAGACAGCACTGGCCTCAGTGCTGCAGCCGCCATTGTGCGAAGCTGGGGACGTGGGTCACAGGCAGCCGTCCTGATAGGGGGGCTGTTTCTCCACGCTCCAGCCCCCATCCTGCCCTACCTGCTGCTGGGTCTCGAGAGAGCCCCGTGGCCCCAACTCAGGAGAGAACCCTCCCCTTCTCCCCCTCAGCCAGCCCTGCCCTCCCCCTGACTCAGCGTCCACCGTCCACCGTGGGAGAGAGGCTGTGGACTGCCCCACCCGCCTCTGAAGCCCAACCCGGGCCAACCCGGGGACCCAGCTCCACAGCATTTGTGGCCTCTTCAACCCACAGCATCTTCCCCGGGGCTGACCCGCTTGGCCAGCACCCGGCTCCGTCCGGTCCTGGGGTGGGGATGTTGCCGCCAGCAGTGGGGCCCAGGTGGGTCCTGGGGCAGTCTGGCCCAGGGCGGCTCAGAGCACACACATCACGGACCGTGTGTGTGTCCAGGTGGACGGCCGGCCCCAGCCAGCCCGGCCTGCCGCGTCCGCAGCCCCGGCGTTGACCCCTGGCGGAGCCGTCCCCGGGCGTCTACCCCAGCCACACTCTCCCCCGAAGCAGCTCTGTGTTCTCGCAGCTTGGCCCTTATCGGTGACCATCTGGCCACCTCCGCTCCCTCCCCCATCGTTTCTAGTCTTTCCAGTGTTCCAGGTACCCAAGGCGGGTATTATTTTCTGACGGAGACCCTGGGGGAACCACCCCCAAGGGCACCGCAGGCCCCAGGGTGAGCCACGCCTCATGCCGGCTCATGCCAGGACGTCTGCTTCACCCCTGCCCCTGCTCTGAGGGCCCTGGGGTCCTCTTCCCACCCCCGGGGCTCACTCCAGCCCCACCCCATCTTGGCCATCCAGCAGCCCCTGCTAAGTACCTGCAGCCCCAGGTCCATCCTCCATCCACCTCCCCTCCAGCTTCATGGGGCGACCCCACCTCGTGGGGTGGGCAACCCCAGTGCTCAGCGTGGGAAAGGCCTTTGGGAAAAGCATGGTGGGCGTGTGGCCCTGGCTGACCCCTGGGGATTGGTACAGGTTTGGGGGCTCAGCTGGGAAGATGGGGGTGCCCCTGCTGAGTTGGGGACTGTGCCCGGCCTGACAAGAGCACCCTGAGGCACAAACCCTGTTGGTGGGCATGGGGGTGGGGGTAGATGGCAGGGGAGGGGCCCCGCCCTGCTACCTGCTCAGCCACTGGGTCTCAGGTGAGGGCTGCAGAGCGGGGCTCCCTCCACACACGTGTGTGCACACGTGCAGACTTGCACAGGGGTCACGGACGCGCGCACACACACACACGCGCGCGCGTGCGTTCCACACAGCCGTGACCAAGGCCAGGCCCCGTCCCTCCCCTGGCCCTCAAGGAACCCAGGCCTTGAGGCCACCTGCACACCGCCCGGCTCACCTCTGATCCTGTCCCCGCAGGTGACGCAGCTGGACCAGAGGCTGGCGCTCATCACAGACATGCTGCACCAGCTGCTCGCCCAGCACCACGGAGGCTCCCCGGGCAGCCGGCCTTCCAGCGGGGGCGGGGCCCAGGTGGTCCAGCCCCACAGCGGTGGCTCTATCAACCCCGAGCTCTTCCTGCCCAGCAACGCGCTACCCACCTACGAACAGCTGACCGTGCCCCGCGGGGGCCCCGACAAGGGCTCCTGATGGGGGCTCGGGGCCCAGGCCTGAGAGGGGAGGCCCGGAGGAGCCCTGCCCGGCCCACCCCACCTCCCACTCAGCACAGGCACCACTAGGCCTCTGCCACCTCTCGAAGGCCCGAGAGAGCAGTCCCGCCCTCCAGGGCCCCAGACGCCCGGTGGACGACAGGGCCCTGCGGCCTGCCTGGGGGGCTCAAGACCGCCTCTTCCCAGCCAGCGGGTACTAGAATTTGGCTGGGTGCTGGGAGGAGGGGCCTCTCGGCTCCGAGACCGGGGTCCCCCCATTGCCTGCCTGATACTCGGGACAGAGCGGCAGGAGGTCAGGCCGGGCATCCCAGGCACTTGGTCTGTCCCATGTATGGCCAGGGAGCCGCACAGCTGTGTGCAGGCCCCGGGGCATTCCTCAGGGGAGACAGAGGGACGGCCTGGACAGGGTCTGTGAGGACCCCACCCCCAGCCTCAAAGCCAGGCCCAGGGGGACCCAGGGAGAAGGCAGGCCAGGCAGGGCAGGGCAGGCCCAGCCCATGCCGAACAAAGGATGCCCACGGGCAAGGCCCAGTCAAGGCCCCCCCCCCACCGGGCCTGGGCCTGACTCCCTCAAGCTCCAGAGATGCTGACTCAGGCCAGGAGCTGGCGGGGAGCTGCTCCTGAGGCCACAGCTTCCAACGGGAGGGACGTGTCCACCGCTGTGGCCAGAGCTCTTCACTGGGGGTGGGCTGCCCACCAGTGGAACCGGGGTGCTCAGGTCCCCCACTTTGGACTGGCAGCTTCTCCTACCCATTCCGGAGAAAAGAGGAGGGTCCCCAAACCCCGCTCTGCGTGTGGGCCTCACCTCCAGCTCCCTGCCTGGTCTAAGCAGCTGGACGGACACACAGACGGTGGCCTCCCCGACCCGCTGCTGAGCCGCAGGGGAGCGGACGGGCGCCACCACCTCTGGCGAGACCCACCTCCTCTGGCCTGCTCCGCCTCGCCGAAATCAGAATAATCTGTGGTGATTTGGAACCTGTGCTTTAATGAATTTCACAGTGTGATTTTGATTCTTAACCGTTCAGGTTTTTCCTAATAAATGTGGAATCACAAAATTGATCTTGCCCTGCTCTCGCCTCCTTTCCTGGGGGAGCAAGCGACCCATCTTGGGGACAACCTGGCTTCCCGTGGAGCTGCTGCCCACCCCTCAACACCCCAGCACCCCTCACCCCGTCTGTGCCCACCCCAGTGAGGGGGCCCAGAAGCCTCAACCCCCTGGCCTGGGGTTCCTGGGAATGGGGTGGCGCCAGTGACCCAGGAGCACCTGGAGGCCGGGCTGTTCCTGTCCCCCCGACCCAAGGTCGGGCTCCAGCCCACCCGCTAAGCCTTTGCTCTTGCTGGTGCCTTTGCCGGGGGGTTCTCCTGTCCCCTCTCCATCTGTTGAAACCACTCCCTTGGTCTCCAGCCAGGCTCAAAGCCCCCTCCTACAGGAAGCTCTCCCTGATAGCCCTTTATGAGACCAGCCCCACCCCCAGGTCTTGGGACCCTTCAAGGGGGGAGGGGCGAACAGGTGAGGGTCATCGCCCCCAGCCAAGCAGCTTGGGGACCCTGTCCTCAGGATTCACATCCCACACGCACTTCTCAGGTCTCGGGCTTAATTCTTAACTCCAGGACAGCACCTGCCCCCACTCCCACTGCCAGCCTCCCACTGCTGCCCACGGGCATCTGGGCCCCTGCCTCCTCCAGGCCCAGCTCCGTTCCCCCCAGGTCCTGCCTGGAGCCCTCCCCAACCTCCCTCTTGGACGGGACCCCTGCAGTCTCCTTGGAGGCAGGTGCCCAGGTGGCCGCAAAGCAGGAACTCCTGGTCCGTGTGGAATGTCAGCTTGGGCCCCTGTGGGAGGGGAGGGGCCTGGGTCCCCCTTTGCAGAGCCCCAGGGGCTCCCCGGAGCCCAGCCCTGGCTCCCACCCGAGGGGACGTCTGGCCGTCGGGCACTGGCCGGTGTGGGGGAGGGGAGGAGGGCCAGCGAGGGCCCGGGGCCTCCCCAGCCCAAACCCCCGGGGGGGAGGGGCGAGAGCAACAATTACTGGAAAGGCAAAAGCTGTTGTTTCCTTGTTGAGTAAATATTTGTGGAAACCCCAGGAGGCGGCTGGCTGGAGAGCGGGGCCCTCCACGGTGCCCCCGCCCCGCCCGCTGCCGGGCACGGCCCCCAGCCCTCGGGGCACTCGCTCGGGCCGCCCATCTGGGCCGGGCGCGGCCCCTGCACCCAGCCCGGCTTTGTTTTGCGTATTATCGACTGCGCACGAAGTGCCCGAGTGCTTCACTCCTGGACGGGCCATTGCAGCCCTCTCGGGTGTGAAATGCAATTTACCTGAAATAAAGCCCAATTATGGAATTAGCTAATTAAAGCCGCAGTGGAGGCTGGGCCGGCCGGCCAGGAGCTCAATGCCCGCCGGTGCCCGCGGTCTGAGGGAACAGATGGCGCCCCAGCCCGCCGCGCGGCCGCATTCCTTCACTCTGCCCCCGATAACTGACTTACACAGCACACGGCCATCTGGTGTATGACACGTCCTGTGTGCCCCGGACAATGGCCCAGCAGACCTCTCCGGGAGAGGGCCGTCGCCCGGGCAACGGTGGCATGTGCAGCCCAGGCCCATTCCCGGCCCCGGCCCCGCCCCCGGCCCCTTTGTGGGCCTCGCCTGGCTGCCTGGCCGCTCCCGCCGACAACGTCCGTGAGCGTTTGTCCCCGGCGTCCGGCCTTTGTCTCCCAATTGGGCTTCCTTGTTGGGGTCCTCAATGTCCAGTGGGTGCCGAGAGCATCTGCTGGCGGGAGAGAGTGGGGCTGGGGGGGGCTGCCCTGCCCACCTCCCGGGGCACCCACCTCCTCTGCCCGTGCCCCCTCCCCCATCGGCGCCCTCTGGAGCCGGGCAGGAGGACGGCATCTGGAGGGCTCGGGGCTCGGCCGCGGGGGCCAGTCTCTGAGGCCAGTGTCCGCGCAACCTGAGGTCCTCCCAACCTTGGGCCAGGGGCCGACCTGCACCTCCTGCCCCCTCCCCTGTCCGTGCAATGGGAACAGAGTGCCTCTTGAAGGCGTGTGGGGGAGGAGCTGATGACCATAGGGCCAGGTCAGCACACAGTAGGTGCTTCATAAAGGCAACCAGAAAATGGTCCAGGAGGCGCCCGGCTCTGGGGTCTATCGCCTCATCGCACTCCCACTGCCTGGCCCCAGTGCCCGCTCAGAGCAACTCCCTGGCCCCTGCTGCGTCCAGCCTCACCCCCCCAGTGCCCCCTCGGAGCCAAAGCAAGGTGCCCACAGCCTGCTGTCCTGCACCCTAAGCAGTCTGGCCCCCACTGCCCAGGCCCTGCCCACTCACCCGTGACGCCGGGCATCTATCTCCAGCCGGGCCGACACGCCCCACCCCCACCCCCCACCCCCCTGCCGCCACACACACACACACAGCTCCTCCCTGCACTCTAGTGGGCCCCAAGCTGCCAGCAGCCACAGCCCCCTCCCTGCTCAGGACCCGTTTGGCAGGCACCGCCGACCCCCGCACTGGGCAGGGGTCAGGAGCCAGGCCCTCCAGCCTGCCACTGGAGAGGGGGCTGTGCTAGGACTCTGAGGACCCACGGGGAGCCACGGCCCAGGAGCGCCTGGCACAGGGCCCGGCCCCACTAGGTACGCAGGAAGTGCCCGTTGAATTAAGGGATAACATTTGAGTTTGGAAAGAGGCTAACGGCGCTGCTGGGGCTGCGGCCACGCCTGGACCAGGCAGGGCACCGCCAGGCGGTGCCGTGTGAGGGATGCTCAGGGGAGGAGGGCTGGGCACCCTGGGCCCTGGAAGAGGGGGTCAGGTGTGCGTCCCAACTGGGGTGGTCAGACAGCTGGGCTAGGTAGGGGTGGAGTGACAAAAGGCAGCCGTGGGCCGGTTCCTGGGACGGGCCCACACGCAGCCCTGCGTGAGCGTGCGTCCGGTGGGGACCTGCTGGGTCACCCTCAGGGACAGACGGCCCCTTCCTAACATGCGGCCAGTGCCTGGTGTGGGAGGCCCTTCCTCGCTCCCCAGAAACCTGCCTTCCTCGGCTTCATCCTAGGACCGCCCTCACGGTCCTGGGCCCCATCGGCTCACTGGGGGTCTCAAAGGGCGTCTGCCTCACCACTCTGAGCCCCCAGCGGCAGCCCTTCCTGGCTCTGGCCCTATCGTTGTGGCCCCAGGGGGCTGGGGAGCTGGGGAGACCAGGCCCGGCACGGGTCAGACAGGCAGCGAGGCCTAGCACGTGCTCACAGCAGCCAGAGCTTCCATTGCCCTCGAGTGCGGGGGGCCAGGGGCCAGGCCCTAAGGAAGCTGACCGTCCCCACCTACGCCCCTTCCACCGCGCAGCAGAACCTCGGCAGGCGGGCAGAGGGCCTCACGGCCGGGCGGCACCCGAGCCCAGGAGCAGGCAACCTCTGACCTCACTGTCCAGCTGCTGTGTTTTCACCTGCTCAAGGGGGGAGTTGCCTCCAGCTCCAACAGATCAGGCCTGGGCTGGGAGCGGGGGCAGGTAGAGGCTCTCGACACTGGCCAGAGGCACTGGTCTGAGGAAGGGTCTTCTCTAAAGATGGGGGTCCTGGCCAACTGTGCCCCATCCCAAGGCCTCTGAGTCCAGGTCTCAGGTGCTCGCTGTGTGGCAAGAGGGAGGGGTTCCACTCTGATTCCCAGATCCTTTTCTCTCAGCAGGTCCCTCTGTGACCTGCTGGGCCTAACTCTGTCATTTGGCCCTTCCCTCAGCACCCCTCAGCACCCCATGAGGCACCAGGATGCCAGGGGGAGGCCTGGGGGGTCCCTGCATCCCCACGCCTCCGCCTCCCCAGCCCCCAGGCCCCTTAGCGAGGCAGAAGGTGGAGGAGGGGGAAAGCTCGGCTCAGGGCAGACCTACTGGACACCAGAGAATGCTCAGACCCTCCCCCTGCTCTTGTCGTCAGACCCCCCACCTCAAGCCTCCATCCCCGCGCCCACCTCTGTGGCACCCAGAGGGAGCAGGCCTGCCCTTGATTCCCAGGGCCACACCTCTCCCGCCCCCTCACCTGATCCCAGGCTTAGGTCTCACCCACATCTGGGCAGTGACCCCTCAGCCCGAGAGGGCCCAGAGCCAGCCCAGGACGGGTGCCCATCGCGGGCCTGGCACACCAAGTTCCTCCTGCCTCCTGCATGTGGACCCAGGTTGCACAGATGGGGAGTGTGGAGACGGAGTTGAAAACGTGTCACTTGGACGCTGCAGGGATTCCCACCTGCCCACGACTCTGGAAGCCCCAGCCGTCCCCCAGCCCCGCTCCACACCCTGCTCGGCAAAACTCTCCCCGAGTTTCCAGCCTGTTGGAAGCGTGTGATCTTTCTGAGCAACATCAAAGTGGGAGGCGCGGGCTGCCTGGATCAATCATGCCGGCAGCCTCGTCTTCCTGCCTGGTCTGCGGCCCCAGGAAGCTGGTAGTGGTGGCAGAACACACGGTGACG